TTTGAGGCATCACACTTGAGGTGCTAAGTTCTTAAAGGCCAAATACAACAAGCTACAACAAGAGGTATTCTTTTAACTAGTTTTTATGATTCTTATACCAAATTTTGTATGATAGTTAGGCTTCATCCTTTGGAAAACAATATTATATGTATAATTAGAGAAAACTTAGATCCAAAGCATTAGGGTTGTATGTGCACCATAAGGTTGTTATAGTGCTCAAAACCCATCAAGGGTAGCCATTATCAGTTAGACTCTCAGGAACCTGGTTGCCGGAACAGGTGGGAGACTGGCAGTCTTAGCGGTGGATTGGGGATTTTTATATCCCATTTTAGTGAAAGGTCGCCGTGAATCAGAAGATTTCGGGTGAAATGCAAGTGAAAATTCTTGGATCTCAGGTTATGAGTTATGTATCGGGTTGGCTTGTTGGTCGAAACTCGCATTGGGAGTCGTTAGTGTATATATGCAATATCTTTTCATCAACAAGTTATGGATTATGGAATTTGTATGCCAAGGGTATCAGTTGGAGGGTTCAGGGTCAAAAGGATGTTTTTAGTTCTGATGGTAGAAATAGGCCCTCGTAATTGTGTTTCGAAATGGTTCTACCTGTGTGGAGGTCATGCAAGTTATGGGGTTTAAGAATTATAACAGTAACGTGTTGGTTCGATAGTTAAAGGATCAGTGATTTGTTCATCATTAAGAGGTTTTTTTGGAGCGTTGGTTTACATGAGGGTGGTAAGGAGTGATTTCGAGGACGAAATCTAATTTAAGTAGAAAAGAGTTGTAACACCCTGTTCCGAATTGTTTCCTAATTCGGGGTCGTGACCCGAAGATTGGTTATCAATAGGCTTATGGCCTTTGGTAAAGAGAGATATTTAGACACCTTTGGGTGTGGGGAATGTAAGGTAGATGATCTGGGGGTTCGGTTTGTGATTTGGAGCCCAAGGGTATAACTGTAAAGTGGTAATTCAGGCTTTTTATGAATTTTAGATTTTAGTTCGGAAAGTTTTAAGGCAAGGATGAGTTGATAGAAGTGTATATCTTTTTGTTACCTTTCCGGGGATATAAGGATCGTCGAAAACGGACTTAGAACGAAGAAGTTAAAGCCTTCGGAAGTTTGGTGGTATTAGGGTTCAGCCTAGTATGATGGGCGTACATAGGAGTACGCTGGGCGTACTAGGAAGAAGGATCGCAGATGCTTAAGGGAGTACGGTGGGCGTACCAAGAGTACGCAAGGCATACTACAGCCAGATGCAAACCCTAATTTAGGGTCTTGGACCCTATTTAATGGCTTAACTCAACACCAAACCTCTTATTTTCAGCCTCCATCCCATTAAACCCTAGAAACGAAACCCTAGCCTCCATTGGTGTGGTTCTTGAACTTTTGGTGTGATTACATGCATTTTGGTGCTCATTGAAGAAAAAGGAGCTTCTTGGAGAAGTGTGGGATTAATTGAAGCTTGTGGATCCAAGATTTGTGTATCTTGATCTACCTTTTGGGGGTATAAAGCTTCAAACTTTATGGTTCTCTATTGTAGATCTAGTATTGGGTGGTATTTTATCATGTTTTGGTACCAAGGTTGTTGATCTTGTGAGTAGAAGCTACTCCAGGACCTTTGAGCCCCATATTTGGTCCTTGTTGAGTTGTTAAGTCATAAAAATGTCATCTTGAGGGTTTTTTTGTCCCATTAAGTCATGCAAAGGAGTAAAGTTGCCAACTTTACGTTTTAAGACATCATTTAGGGTCAGATAAGTGTTTGGATGCTTCTGTCTCAACCATTAAGGGCGTATTATGGATTATTGGGCCTCTGATGAGTAAGTTGAGCATACATAGAAGAGTATGCTCAGTGTAATGTTGGTTTCATGCATAGACAACTTGTACCTTGTGCTTCGGGGGTGAGTATGCAGGGCGTACACTTCTGGTACGCGGGGCGTACTATGGAAAACTTCAATTTGGGCCTTGAGCCTTTTGGGGTTTGGCCCATGAGTTATTGGACTAGTTTTGGGAAGCGTAAAATGGTCTTTTACCCTTTAGGAAGTTGGATTATGGATTGGGCCTTGGATTTTGGGTTATCAGGTTAATTATTAATCAAAGTTGTATTTATTGTTAGTTGGTGCGAGGTTATCCGGTTCAGCGAACCAAGCAGCTATTTGGTTATCAGCGGTTTGAGGTGATTTTCCTCATTGTGTTTAGCGAGTCGAAGGAATCAATTCCGGTCCATGGTTTATTACGATTAGGATGCTAGATGTCTGCATGACTCTGCATGTATGCTTTCTGATATGTTTACCGGTTAGGGCCTGATGATTATATTGTATGCTATTTATCTTTATGATTTTTGCATGTGTTTATGTGTTTGTATGTATACCGGGTGGGGCCCGATGCCAGGCGGGGCCTGATGACTGACAGATCTGTTCCGAGCGGGGATCGATGTCGGACGGGGCCCGATGACGGGCGGGACCCATTATATGTTTCATATGTATGGTATGTGGTACTTTGGGGGAACTCACTATGCTTTGTGCTTATGGTTTTATGGGTATGGTTTTGGATATTTTCGGTTCGAAAGGGAAGGGTCCGACTTAATCGCAACACATCCAACTACGTTTCCGCAATATGATGATTTTGGGATTGTACTCTGATGACTGTTTTATTATGAAATACTTTTGAATGTTTGAGTAAAAGATAATTGATGTTTTGGTTGAATTAAAAATGAAAATTTTACATCATAATTTTTGGATTTTACAAATGCATTATCTCAATTATTTGTGTATTTGTGTATGTATTGTTGAGAAATTGTATTGGTTTAATAATTATGTATTTTGTGTATGTATTGATATATCGATTTAAATGTTTATTTATTTGTATGTATTTTTGAAAATTAGATGGTAGAGAAACGGATTAAAATTATGTGAAAAGAATAGGCAATAATATATGGTTGAATATTTGTATCAAAGTGTATGACTTATGACATTAAAATGGGTAATGTCACACTTGTGACATTAAAATATGCCACAAAAAGTTGTCTCGATTCATGTGTCGAAATCCTGATATCTGGTAATTTTTCTGGAAATGGTGAATGATAGAGTTTAGTTTAAAGATTTCAAAAATCCAAACGGATTAATTTTTTGAGTTATAGAACTCCGGGAAATCGAGTTTAAAGATTCACGTTTAATTAATCCAAAACTTCTGATTTTTTGACTTTTATAAATATTTTTACTAAACATATTTCAATTATGAAAATAAATATTATACTATAATCTGAGTTCAAAAATGTTCTCAGAATTCCCATCTGAGGTGTGCAAGTCCCTTAACGGATAGAAATGGTTTTAGCGGTTTTGAGAAAATCAGTATTATACTGGTTTGGATTCTTAAAACGGTCGTATCATTTGCATACGAATTCTGTTTTGGACGTTATTTATATTTCGGAAACAAGAAAACATGTGCTACGAGACTAGAGTTTTTGTTTTGCTCACAACTGCTTAATACAAAATTTTAGTTTTTCAGACGTATTAATTAGGGTTGCAGTTTGATTCGTTTGTCAGTTTACACATTTGGATGTAAGATACCATCTGGTATCTTATATTAGTTGAAATGAACCCATTTAATTTACAAAAGATGCACTAAAACTCAATGAGTCAAATAACAAAGAAATTTACTACGAACTGACCGTCCACAATTTTAGACCTAAATTTCGGGACGTCACACACATCATCACCACTTCCCCACCATTTACTTAGAAAATACCACCACTCTACATCACCACACCGATACTTGTGCAATAATTGTAGAAATTGAAGAAGCCTTCTTGCCATGGTGAACTATGGCCTCAACTCGACAACTCGATTCTACTCTTAGGACCCTCCATGCCATTGGGTGGGTTGGGGAGGGGGGTAATGTGCGTAATCAGCTTCCAAGTCAACACTACATCAAGGACATGGTGCTTATACCTTACAACCTTATTGCTAAAAAGATGATTGGTTGTTTTATATTAACCTACTATAAGAGATAAGAGAGGTCAACATGAATAAAACATGGCAAAGTAAATTAACGATTGAGCCCATCTACACACAAAAGGGGTCTTTTTTGAAGTTTGTCTTGTACTAAATTAGACACTTTCAAGGTGGTCCATACATCTTATTTAATGGTTTAAATATGGGCTTAGCCAATGACTCAACATGATGTTGGGGACGTACTTGACTAAGAAGATAAAGTCTTCGGTCTAGCTCAACCAGAAAAAAAAAATCTAAAATAAAACATTTTTACCAATATTTTGTTGTTAGTCCTTGACTGGTTACTTAATTTGGATTCCTTTGATAATTTTAAATAGAATGCAAGCGAAACTAAACAATATTCTTTTGCGTGCTGATGGGTTATTAATGTAATAATGCAACTTCATTTCGGTCATAGTTCATGCCACAATGGTTTCTAATAAGGCAGTATCAAGTAATCGGTTTCAGTTTGACATAATTACAAAAATGGTCCTAGTGGTTGGCAAATTTATGTGTTTTTGGTCCAAAACGAAATATTGGTGCATCACTGATCCAAAATTGGATATTTCTATTGGTTTTGGTCCGTATCAACATAAAAAGACTATTATACCCTTATATTTGTTTTTTCTAATTTTTTTTATATTTATTCACATGTTTTTCATTAATTAAAATTGAGAAAAAGGTCTCTCTACTGTTTCCATTCCACGAACATACCTAACAAATCAGATTAATAACCTTCACCCCAAAAATCATCCCCTGATCTTAACCTTTGTCGCCATCTGGGTCAAATAGTCGGCGGTTCACAAATCCGCTTGTGGGTATCTGCTCATGTGAGTTCGCTTCTTCCCCATTCATCGAAAAGTTGTCACCGTTGAGAATCAAGCTAAGATTGATGTTTCTGAAGCTGGACAGAGTATTTTTCCTATTTAGGGCAAAAAATCCAACAGGAGGCTGCAAATCAAGCTAAAATTGATGTTTCTAAAGCCAATATGAAGGTATTATGTTGCTTAGGTTTTAAATGGTAGATACTCAGTTTGTGATTCACGATTGATTGTTGTTTTAGGGTGAAATTGGATCCAAGCTTCGCCAAGGTCAGACGCTTTAGAATGCAGCGAAGATAGATGCAGAGACGAAGATCATAGTGACACAGAGACAAGGACAGGGGAAGAAGGAAAAGATAAAGGTGAAAACGGAGGTGAAGGTGTTTGAGAACCAGAGGGGGGCTGAAGTGGCTGAAGCAAATGCAGAGTTGGCAATGAAGAAGGCAAAGTGGGCCAAGGATTCACAAGTTGAATTTCTATCTGTTTGACCTAAACAAAGGTACAAGGTAACAAACATAACATAAATTAATCGAATGCGATTAATCACCTATGTTTCACAAAATTGAATTTCTATCTGTTTGACCTAAACAAAGGTACAAGAGGCGAATTAGGAGCTTTACAGAAAGCAGAAGTCAGCTGAAGCAATTCTGTACGAGAAGGAGAAACAAGCGGAGGGTCAGAAGGCAATGGCGGAGGCGACACTCTACTCCCGCCAACAAGTCGCCGATGACGAATTATATGCAAAACAGAAGGAGGCAGAGGGACTTGTTGCTCTTGCTCAAGCTCAAGGTACTTACATACG